ATTTTTCCGTAGCATATAAGTAGGTTTTCCTTTTTTTCAGTTAATGTTAACATTATTAATTAAACTTAATAATAAGTAATACAATATATATACACGAACTTATTCAAGTAGCTTTAAAATGCGCAAAATTCTTAATTCGACCTTTTGAATGAACAACTACTTACGCAACACTAGTAGATATGTCTTTGTCAATATTGTTCAATAAGTCAATATTACATACTTTTTTTAAATGGGTTTACTTTCCACTAGGACATAATAATTTGAAGACGTTTGAAGAAATTATTTATTGTAATATACAATATGTATAGGTTCCATATAAAATCTGCACAATTTAATCACCATATAACGAATCTACATAATTTCTTTGTTGTAATTGTCGTACCTATTTATAATAAATGTGTACGACAATTACAACAAAGAAATGAATAACGAATGTGGAAATGAGTTCACCCAAAGTATATACAAATTAAATAAAAATAAGAAGGTAGATACTTATTTCTGCGATCACGGCCATTAGCTATGTCCCTGTGCGAAATTCGTGTAAACAAATTTTCTCGAATAACTTTACTAAGTATGACTGATAGACATTTTTAGACGTCCAAGCAGGAAAATACAATTTGATTGACATTTTACAAATGATTTTTCTTACACCAATTTATTGATGTCGCATAAATTTAGTCTATTTACTAAAAAATGCCATGTATTTTCAGGTGGAATAAAAGACGAAACAACTGCGACTCTAGGTTGCTCGAAACTGTCTACAGAGTTTTGTGTTCTCGATAAATAAAGATTTTAATATTTTTCTTTACTTACAAATTACTCTACGTACCCTAAAGATTATTCTTTACGTAAAATTTCAACTTGTAATGTATGTCCACAAGAAGTAGGTTTAGATCACGCGTCATTTCTTATGGAAATACGGACGCTGTTTATTGAAATAAGTTAGAAACTTTAGTTTCTTACACAATATTATGACTATAGTACATATAATATATACTATCTCTTAGTAATAATATGTATTTCAAATTTTACCTACTTGTTTTAACTTTAGGTGCTTCATGTACTGAATGCCCCATCTACGTTTTCAGCCGTAGCACAGATAAGATACCATAATATTGCATAGTAGTAGACATATTTAGTACTAATTGTGCCCTCGGTTTCACCCACATTATATTTCAATATATAAATAAAAAAAATATATAACCTTCGTGTTCTGATGCATAAGCTATATTATTGTAAATTTCATCAAAATCCATTCAGTAGTTTTTGCGTGAAAGAGTAACAAACATACTTTACAAACTTTCGCGATTATAATATTATTGGGTTTGTAACTGTATTGATAACCTTTACCTGTAGATCAGCAGGCGGTGTTTGTGCAAATATTCAAGCAACGTGTGAAAAAGCTTCATAAAAGAGATAATGAGAAAAAATAATCCGTATGTCGTTTTCTCTTCATTGTACCTGGAGCGTCGAGCTGTGAGATTATCACGCCCGGCCGTGATTATGATTAAGCACCACCAGGTGAGGAAAAACTTGTGGAAATAAAATTAAAATTACATTTTGCTCGTCCTTATTAGATTTTTAAAATTTTTGGCAAACGGAATTTTATAGATTTAAATGTGTACCTACACGGAATCCTAGTAGTATGTAGAAGTCTTATCTTAAATTTAAAATGCTCTATATAGCACATGTGTTTTACATTTCAAATTAGTACTAAGATCAGTAGGTAGGTATCTATATATATATTTTTTGTCGTAATAGGTGAGATTGGTATGATCCTCATAATCATTTCAACCTCACGCTGGTATTAACTTTTAAAAGAGAGTAAACAAATTTAATGAAGTTGAAAGACGCGGTTCACGTCATTTCCTATCACGTTGGATTTGTTTGTTGTTGTTCTTTCTACAATAGTTTAAAAAATGCCTTCAACTACCTCAAATATATTATACTTTTATTGTTACAAGCGATTTATATTTGTTCGCACTGATATCATAGAATATGTAAACACTAGTTGCAGATAGGTATCGCAGGCAGGTGGTTTTAACAACCGTATTTGTCATCTGGGAACGCCGAAATGTTCCAATGTATCATAACTACAGCAGTGATATTTACCGTTGCCTACGTTTGTTGTTGGCATTTTTGAAATTACATACATCATTATAATTTATATTTGTTTGTCATTAGGAGCGAATAATGTACCTAATCGTAATTTTCTCATAACTATAAATACATAAAATGATGTGCAAAATGAATTTTAGTAAAGTGTAAGTATGTAGTACCAATTTGAATATAGTATAATTAATACCTTATTTAATGTAATTAGTTCTCAGGTACGTATAAAGGGTATTGCTTCAGTTTCCAGTACGTAATCAATACATGAACGCTCATGCATTTGTACCATTCATATATAAATTATAAATATATATATATATATATTGAATTCACTTTCTATAGAATATGGTTCAACATTCAGACCAGAAATTTTATCGAAAATAGTTGTAGCCGAATATAATTTTAAACTAGGTATCGTTTTCTTATAAAAAAAGAATGTAAAAAATTATATTCGGGATTTATACGATGCGATTTTTCTATTAGCCCATAAACATTTGTGGGATCCGCTATACCATATACAGATAGGGAAACAATGTAAGAGTCACTTAATTCACGGTAAACAACAAAAGGAGTATCACCTAGAAATAGTGAGTGAGGGTCGTTTTGTTCGGCGAAGTTTTTATACGGTGTGGTGCAGGGGCCACATAACGAGCACCTGCGCGCTCATCTACATAATGTGGACAAGTCGTTGAACTCTGGGATGCTGGACAGTTTTGTGGCGAGCCGCAACCCGATGCCACCTGACACTCGTATCCACCAGTTTCAGATAAGCGATTTATTTTTCAAGAGACCCAGTGATTTAGCCTACTATCATATTTACTTAAACTCTCCCGAAACTAAAAATAAACAGTTACTCTAGAGTATTATTTTGAAAATTTTATTATACCACTATTGTGGCATAGAAGTAGATGCCTATCCTGTGGACGCATGAAACATAAGGGGTGACTCGTGCGCTTTCATCTTTGTGCTTCGTAAAGATGTACGAATATATTCTGATTTATGTACATGTTTGTTCATGTAGAGACATTATATTTCACTATCATAACTCATGTAGACTAATTTTTATTTATTGTCTATTATTGTAATTAATAAAAAATTAAACAAAATATAGTTATTTTTGTGTGCTAATCCCTACACAATATTTTTGGTGCGATTATTGGAAAAATATTGTTTATATTATTGCTTTTTTTATTGAATCGTAACTAAAAGGGGAATATATGCGTAACAGTTCACAGCTCCTTTTATGCGACGCGACGGATACACAAACAAATAAAATTTATTTACAAAGAGTGCGTTCCTTTGCACCCACCCGTCGCTTCGCTTCAAACAAGCCTATTGACAGTTTACTCAAACAAAATATTTCATATTGTGTAAATACCTTTGTATAAGGAAAAACTGAAAAATAACATGACTTAAAGAACTACAATGAATATATTAAATTACTCTAAGATAGTAAGATTTTATAGTGGACTATGTGTTGACCTTCGGCTTCCATTATCAGTTCTGATTAACGTTTATCAGTTCACACTTTTTGTCAAGAAACAAAAACTATCATAAACTCGATGGGACTCACATAGTTATTATCCGCTTATCACGTCATCGTGTGATGCCCGTTGTCGGGCACGATGACGTGATGAATATGGCGGGTACTAATCCCTCATGTGTGTGCTATTTTGGAGGAGATAGATCTCATTGTCATCATGTTACAAAAGTTGCATTGCAGCTAATAGCTGTGGCAGACTCTATTGACTGTTCCTCGTACCTCGGTAAATCGTTTCACAATATATGCATTCGTTATTCTATTTAAAAGACAATTGTACTTCTATTACAGATAATGATATCTGTAATAGAAGTACAATTTATATGAATGAATATATATGAATATATTTTAAAGGGTGTAAGATTATGTTACTAATTACTGTTGTCTTTATACGACTTGCTAAACAAGAGAGTGCATTTTAATAAATGTACTAACAACATAAATAACAAAACCGCCACCGTCTTATATGGTAAAAAGTTTAGAGTTGGTTCAGTCTAGCGAAAAACGAAGTCGGAAAATAAAATGCAGTCGTTGCGGTTTCAATTAGGGTGACATTTACTGGACAGTGTGAGGTGGTCTAACTCCCTTACTCCTACCGCCACAATCGGTAAGATTGATTACGAACAAGAAAGTTTAGAAAAACTAGCGTACCTAATGCGATACTATTGTATTAGTAAAATAGTAGTAAATACAATTATGTAATATATTAACATTAACGCTTCAGGAATACGTAATACACCGAAAAATAAAGAGTATTTGCAAACAAATAACATAGATGTATAATAAATTGTTTCTTTACATCACAGATAATACCTATATGTTTTTTTAGGGTTTGGAAGGTTTTAGATAGCGTATTTTTACAATTTATTTCCAACATTTCAAAACGTAATAGTTAATTCAAAGTTTGAATAATGGGTATACGTGACCATATATTTACATACACATTACAAAAGTACTGGATAAAAATAATTGAATCATTGCATATTCTGCCATACAGATTTCTACTTGTAATAAAATCAACAAAAATATCGATTGTTTGACTGGTAAAACACTTAACTTATAACTTTACATATAAAGTCTACAATACGTTTAATATTCGTGGATTTGTAACTGATATGGGAATTGGAACTTTAAACTGCATCTACGAGCACACAAAATGTCAAGAAGTGAAGTACAAGTACGAGTACATAAGATCACGACGGCATGCGAGGACCCCGATATTATGTGACGTAAATCAAAGTAATGCAAGTCGAATTGTTCGTTTAAGAAGTTTTTACTGTAAATAAAAATGCAGCTCATTATTAAATAATTTTTAATATAAATACTATTGTTTAATTGTGTCTAATTTTACGTGTTTTCTTAGAAAAATTGTTCTATCACTGACTCAATAAAAATGTTAAAGTTAACTAACTAACACTACTATATATAAATTAAATTACATATAAAAATATACCTAATGTATAAAAGCAGTCCTTCTGATATACATATAAGTAAATGAAAAATAAAGATTACAAGAGAAAGGAACGAATTATAGACAGTCTATTTAATCGGCTATCGCAATAGGAGCGTCCAGACCAGCATCAAAGGTAAAATTTTAAACCCTCCGATGACGACAACAACATCCTAAAGAATCGACACAAGAAGTGCCAACATTGCACACAATGAATAGCCCGCGAGACAGCCAGCTATTTATTTTAGTTTTATTAACATACACATTCAGTTATCAAATTAATTATGATAATAATTATACACATCATTAGCTTTTTCTTTTGGTGAGATCTTTCCTGCCTTCAATTTTCTTTTGGAACATTTTTGCTTTCTTTGTCTGGTTCATAGACGATTCTTCATAAGTGAATTTAGTCCCCTTCTTTTCTTTTGTAGATCCTCTACACTTGATTAGTTAAACAAATATACCTAAATCTTTCTATACTGCTTTAACATCTGTTTATTCTAACACAGTTTTCATTTTTGTCTTCTTCTAGGTCTATTATATATCTCCTTCTTCCACCCTCGGAACCGAAGCTGACTTTCACTAGGTTTCATAACACAATTACCTTAACTATTTTAGAAGTTTTCGGCCGAGAGCAAATGATTGATGTGATTAGGTTCTGGCTCGCGAACTAATATGTGATATTTTTTTCTAATAGTTTCTTGTAAGATCTTATAATTACTACTGCAAATGTAAAGTTGTAACTGTTCTATATATAATAGCTACCTTTCTAATTTTACAGAAATGAAAATACCATTTAGGTACAGCGGTTTATTTTTCTTCATAGCTTTACCGTCAATCTTATTCAATTCTTTATTATTAATGTTAAACCATTCACTATACTATTCGTTTTGGGAACGAACTATTAATATGTTTATAAATATTAATATCATACATTTTTTTATATAGTTACTTATAAAAATTGACACATTTATTAATGTAGGCACACGAGACAATATGGCACCCCGAATAGTCTAACGATAATATGTAAATGTTTAAATACCTAGTGTGGCACAAATATAGACAATTATCTAATAATGCAATTCGTGTAAAAAACACAAAATATTTACGCAACTAATATTTTTGCTTTGCATTGCTTTTTGTAACTATGATTACATTGCAATAGAATTGTGTATATTAATAAGTATAAAGGTACTTCTTATCATCGACATACTTTCTCGTCTTGAGTTTCACATAATGCGTCGGATGCAGCCAGAAACAGCTTGCCAGTTGCGCACGCGCATAACTGATACACTTTCTTAGTCCAAGTGTTCTTTGGGCTTTCATTCACTATTGTAGCTTCTTTGAGATTACCAATGATTATATTCGATGCATTAATTCTAATCTGAAATTTATGTAAACACAATTTCATATTCATCATCATACGAGGTCGATGTGTTTTAAAAAATATATTATATATTAATAAATAATATGTTGTATTCTTTATATTCGATTCGTTAAATATATACAGACAGATATAGACACAAAAATAAACAGTTTCTGCAGTATATTAAAAAATCTATCGCTATATATTATATAGATATAAATTAATATAAATTAATGTATTTAGAATTAATTTCAGAAGATTTCGAGGTAAGGAAGGAGAAAATAGTACTTTTTATAATTTCCTATACAAATTTTCATACTAATGAATACAAGTGTTTGCACCGTACGGGAAATCAAACCCGTGACCATCAGAAAGTAAGGCGGTGTGTTAAACCATTAGATAACACATGCCTAGATAGATGACAAAGGAACCTAAATATATCAAAGGTGCTAAGTTTGGATACGAATAAGTATACTTATAATAAAACTTACCGCACCGACCACAGAGTTAAGTTTGATGTCGCTATGTGATATAATATCTATGTTGCCCGCTCTACTCTCGAACAATATAGACTGGGGCGCTTGTAGATCTAGACGGCGCGTTAGTGATTCCAATCTAAAGTAAAATAAAACGTATTAACACTCACACAAATAGATAATTATAAGAAATAAGTGAATTAATTAATGTTATTATTGTTCATATATTATTCATACGGAATATCTCTTATAGCATCAATATCGTGTAAGACTACTCCTTTTAATACCCTCCGCAAAGTGAAATCCATCACTTTCGAGAGGAAAAAGTGTGAGAACCTCTTTCCACACTTTCTATTTGGCGGTTGGAAGCTGTGTGATTAGTACAGTAGTACCTACTAAGAACTAGTGGAAATAAATGTAACGTGAAAAAAAGTAAACGAATGAAAAATAGTTAGAACTATTTATATTGAAGAGAACGAGAAATTTAAATGTAAACAATATCTATTTAGAATTTAGTATTCGAAATAATATAAAATATATGAAATAGATTATAATCGATTTATAGTATTCATGACGGATTAAAATATATCTTACACTAGTATCTTACACTGGGGTCTTACACTAAATCAGAGCCGGGAGGTGCTCTAACATGGGGTGCCTGCACCGCATTCCGCACAGTGAGTCCGCCCACACCATTCACAGTCATAGTGTTGGCTTGTACACGGACCTCGTCCTTGGATGCTCGAAATACGCTGTTGCCTTGTGCATCACGAACCTCGAACGTGCGACCACTGATTTCTACGCCGTCACGCTCTACAATGTAAACAGGTGGTATCTGTTTTATCCCAAGACAATACACACAGTATACTGTAGTTCCAAGCAAAGCATAGCTTAGACTAAACAATTAATAGATATACCTAAAATATTTTTCATATATATACTCATAACACATATAGAAAATCAACATAAACGACCATACTCATAAATGTATGTATTGTGGGAACAAATGTATGTATCGAACCAGCAGTCATCACAAGTAAGGCGGTATATTAAACCCTAGAATACCGGGTCAGTCACTGTTTCGTTACGCTTAAAATTTTTATTAAAGTTGGGTTTTGTTTTTCATTATTTATTTAGGATCCTAAGCCCTACAAGGGCGTAAATTATATATATTTTTAATTGGAATGGAAAACAACCTGTCGACTCAGCTAACGGAAAACGATAACGATATAATAGTTCATATATTATATAGCACTAGCTGTAGTGCCCCATTTCATTTGCCATTCCTGAGAATATTGCATTCCCTACAATACAATATATAAATAAATAAATGTTACTTTTATGTATTATTATGTAGTGATGAATTAAGTATAACTAACTTATAACAAATGTGGCTTGTTCCAGTAACTCCGGTTCATGTACAAGTACGGTAAAGTTCCGATGAGACCGTATTGTTATGGGCTGAGCCATTTGCGATGTTATTGACGACGCGACTAGGTTATCAAGTATCCACGCCTGTCCTTCCAAATGTATTCCATCTTTCACTATTTTCATTGGACCGATTCCTTTCTGTAACATAAATAACATTCTGGTAATTGATGGTCACTTTAATCGTATATTAATTCAGTAGTTGGTCAGATAAAAGTTAGTAGGTACATTAGGTGAACTTCATTTGTAACATTTTATTATATAAAACAAATAAATACATTTAAAATAACAGGACACAACGATCTTATAAAATATGTTATATGGTGGACTTATCCCAAATGAGGGATTTCTTCCAGTCAACCTGTGAATGAATTCGTTTTCGGTTTGGTTATATTAATGAAATGACAATCAAGCAAGCAAGGCAAGCAAGCCTACTGATAATTGGTAACCATCGCCAATATATGTGTGATGCCTGTGGTATGCCTGTGTGTGTCTGTTCATGCGTTGTAGTCTTAGAGGACTAAGATACCACGCCTCTGTACCCTGTAATTTCATTGCCATATAATTACCCTGCAAACGTAAACACAACTTACTAAGCAAGTTATTTGGCAGCTGAAATGGGTAACTTAGACGTACCCACGTAATTAGACATTGTACATAGTCTACTTCAGTAAATGATATTACATGAAACTATATTAAATTTTCAGAAAATAAAACGTGTAGTGTATATAATGTACTTACCATACTCAGTCTCAGAGTTCCTATAATCCACAATGTCAGTGCTATATTTAGGAATACTAATATCATAAGTACCACGATAATGGCATATAAGGCAGTTCTCCTCCAACCTTTTATAAAAGCATTCGGCCAACATTTTGTTATTGAACGGTCATTGCTGGTGATAGCTGCGGGAGGCGACTCGTCAGTAGGCGTGCACCCCCATCCACGTACAACTCCTGTACTCCCAGATTTGTCTTCTATACTCATCTTCTTTACTTCTAGATTATATATAAAAAATGAGCACTCGATGTGCCACTGAAATTGTATAAATATATTATTAGAATTTGACAAATAGAAATTTATATCTAGGGTAGACAAAATGATAAAAAATTCGACTAAGTTTTATTTATAAAAAAATGGTTATTAAATATAATTTATTTTCTGAGTATCGTTTTTTGTTTGTTATCATTCAAATGTTTGAGGAGTAATATTACTTATGTGGCTGTTATATTAAAAGCTTATTCAAGGGCCCATTATCTACTCATTTACTAAAATATAAGTGTATAGTATATAAGATCCACATATATCAATATTTAAATATAATCTATGAAATTAAATGTGGGGTTTACAATAATATAGTGCATAATAAAAGTAAATGTAATTTAAAATAGGTATAGGTAATGTAACTATAAAACATTTTTATGATTCTGAATAAATAAAAATAGTGATGTCAAGTTGTACTCGTAAGATATTTTATATCGGTATATTGCTGTTACAGAAGGAACAGATAAATATATATGTCACGCGCTACTACACACCCGCCACCTATTGTAAGTTAATTGTTAATTGTTGTATGCCTATGACTTTACTGCAACTGTATTCAAGAAAATATTAAAATGATTTTACAGTTGAATATGGAAGCGTATAAAATACAAAATAACAAATAAAAAAAGTTGTATATAAGGTTACTGATACACATAGATAGCCTATTAACATTTGAAAACATAATATCATTAATGAATAACAAAAAGGATTATGTTAAATCGTTAGCTGAAGCCGCACTGGTAGATGAAATATTCCAGCAACATGCTACTTGATACAACATCACTTTGACTTTAGATGGAAATGGATGAGTTTTATTTTTTCCATTTAGAGAAACTATACATAATTTATAGCAACAAACAAAATGAGAAGTAAACATTTTATTATTTAATTCTATATACTGTTATTATAGATATGTACTATATAGAGTTGTATACAGTTTTATTATATTTGTTGTAAAGGAGAAATGGTTTAATAATAATTACAAAATGTGGGTATTTTTTTGTAGCAAAATATAATTATTGAATGCTAAATAAGATTGCTAGAAGACAAAACTGATAGATAAAGCGCAGTGTAGTACGCTAATGAATGGTAACAACAACGTCGTTGTCGTCGTCGAGAGAGACAGAGCCTCACTAATGAATATAACGCAGGCTTTTCGAAAATACATTCATGAAAATAATTAACAAAATTGTGACAGTACTGTAGCGAAACATATTTATTCTATACTAATGTTTAAAAAAATATTTTTATGGAATACAATGTGACAGTAAATAATAAGATTAAAACCTAATTCGTCAAGTCCATGAAGTAAGTAAAGGTAGTAGGTACCAATCTCTACGACAAAAATATAATTTGTCATTACATCTTATCAACTGAAATTACTTGCTTGCATCTGAAATTGCTAACATGCATCTATGTCTATATAGACAATGTTTCTAAAATATTGTTATATAAGTACCTAATATAATTTAAATATAAAGCAAAAGAAAAATAAGGGAAACTAATGATTTCCACTGAGAAACCTACATTACATTTATATCATAAAACATATTTATAGACATAAAAATCATGCGAATTTTAATATACTAACGATGAAATGTAACGTTATTTCAAACTGATGAATTGGAAGTTAATGGACTAGTAGCTGTTCTATGAATATAAGGGCTATTAGGCCTCTTTGTCTCCGTAGCTTTTTACACCAATACAATAGCTCGCCATGATACAAAGATTTCCTAACAAAAGAGACTTTATATTAGATTTATATTGGTATAGCTTATGTATTTCTCAAACTTGGAAAAGTACACATACAAGGCCTATGATTAAAATAGGTAGTGTGGTTAAGCAAATTATGAACGCTATCGTTTAGGTCTTTATCTGTTTAATGTAAGTAAAAATGATTAATTCATATTGGATATGTTTTTCCAACTGATGCTTGGTATCTTTTATGACTGTCTCTACTGTTCAAGTTCATTAAGCTACTATTGAGAAAGACTCCAGTAAGCTTCAGTTGAGAAGAACTGGATACATTAATGAAATCACTGCTTGTAGTACGTAGACTTTTGAGTCCAAACCCTGCTCTTTTTGCCTAGAGATTCTTGAAGTGCGTGAAAAAGACGATGTCGGTAAATTGTTTCATGACGTTTATAAATATTAATTTGTATTAATAATATTTGTGAAATGCATAAAAGTGTATCTTGATATTTGCAATAAGTTTCTAATTGTATATCCGAATTAATAATTACCTTATGAAGTCACAATGCATAGATATGTATACAAGAGAAACACAGCATATCCAAGTATATGTATCCGATCCTACAATAATTTAGCTTGGTAGGATCGCGGATCACGTGCGTCGTGCGATATCAAATACGTGTTACAATGGTTATGGGGTTTAAAAGTACACGTTTAACGCTTATAAGTATATTTAGCGATGCGGGCGGCTGCACCGGTCGTGTTCTGTGACTGAGACTAGATAAATTCATAGGTGGTAGAAGCAACACTCGAAATATCTAGTGCGAGGTGAGGCGGCGTGCTCCAGAATATAATATCAGGCGGTGGAGTGGCCTGCGCGACTCCCTCAGTGTGCTCATGCCGCGGCGTGGAATCGGCCCTCATAATAAACGATATAGTGCGAAAATAGAAGCGGAACGGGTATCGCTGTGCTCTTCACGTAAATAAAATACTGACGTTTGCAGCGTCTCTCGCTGGCCGTGTTTCTGTTTTATGAATGTCAGCAAGTACCTACTGCGATCGATCTGATGCCGCCGCCGCCGGTTTAAAAATAAAGATTTGCTCTATTCTCAGTAAATGTCCCAAATTATGTACAATGTAAATAAAAACATTTAGGTATCCATCGCATACATACCTAGTCCACTAAAAACGTTTCCGTTTTAGAATATCTAAGTAAGATAGACGTGATAATTTAATTTCTGCACATTAGATCCGAACGCTTTAGTTTGAATTTAAGTGTTATTTTAGGATATCTATTCTGTCACCGCTTCGGTAGACGCAGTGCATTCAGTTCACAGAATAATATAGTTATTTCACACTTCATTCAATTTCTCACGTGTTTCAACGGGGCCACTAAATGTCACTCAAAATACATTTATAGGGAGGCAAGTTCGCAGCTCCAGCGTCACAACAACACTGGCATTACCGTGCGCCAGCGACGCCAGTGCCGAATTCACCTCGTTTTGAAGTGCTGCATTTTTAATCAGGCGCCTGTCTCGCGCGGGACATAACTCGGGAATGCTCTGGATACAGCTGTGCTCCCCTCTATTACAAATTCTAGTTAACGTTAACGTGTCATTAACTGACACCTCCATACAAACTTGTTAATATTTAACGTTGATGCGACCTTGTTAACACACATGACGTACTTAAATACAACCGCTGTACTGTCGGTTGGCTAGTGACAACCCTAATATGACTATAAGCTTTTATATCTCACCATTCTGATATATCATATAAAAATGTCATTGTGAAGCGTATTTTTAAACTTTTAGGTAATGTAATATCGTTAATATTCTAGTATTTTCTGCGTAGATACCACATTTCTATAAATCTGTCTAGCTGTGTAAGCATACACATTCTCATTTTATGTGTAAGTGTAACAGTTATGATTTTTTAGGTTTTCAGTAATGTTGTAGTAATATCAATAAATGTATTTGTTGTTGATTAATAGGCTATCTTTATTCGGTTACAAATCCTTAGTACATACAAATACGTAGTGTGATAACGACAGCAGAAATAGACGTGTTTATATAACGGTACCTATACCTATAGAATACCGCTCTCGTGGCGTCTTCATGAATGAATAATCTGCTTATTTCCGAGCTCGAATTGTTGTCAGTTTTGTATCTAAGTTGTACTGGATCATAATAAAATTATTTTATTAGTTAGATAAATTACTTTATTTTAATAACTTAACCATGAATGCATTATATTAAATATATTGATAAAGTTAGTGATAATATGATCATAGAGTTCATTTTGCAATAATAAGAGGATAGAAAATAAATTGGTTAATCATTTATTAGTTAATAAAATTTTCATAGCAGTAGTTATTGACGAATATAGCATAAAGAGATTCTATGCTTTTTATCGTTATTAGTGAAAGAAATAAAAACATCTAATTGGACATAAATTTTGCCATGTTATAAAATTAAGTAGTTACCTAAACAGAGCAATAACAAATGTATATTATAGTAGAATATTTCATGTTATTCCTCTTCTGGGCCTTATGGAGATAGCGATGAAATCATATTGGATGTTACCGAATGTTTTCATGGAAGTTTTATTGAGCTGAAATGTGACCCCCGAGGGATAACACGCCGGCACTTTTTAGATAAGTAAAAGAGAATAAGGACATCACTAGGGAAGTATTATAAGTGGCTCAGTTATATGGCCAAAGGATATCCATTCAAGCAGAGACAAAGGTCCATTGTTTCTTGCAAACTCCAATATTAAGAAACAAACTATCAGTGCGTAGTAGGAATACACTAAAAAAAGCATTATTTCTACATTTAGACTTTACAAAACTCTTCTTTAAATAAAATTTTGTTATTGTATGTTTGTTAATTAATTATTCTAGTTTATATTAAACATGTCACCTATATAATATAATATTTATTGTAATTAGATAAATAGATCAACTGATGATTATCAGAATTTTGTACACTGACTGATATATCAAAATATGTTGCATCAGTAATAAACTAATATATATAAAGTAAAATACGTGATTATAATGCAAGCGGGTATGCGATATGTCCCGTTTAATTCAGACATTGTTCCCACTCTATCATGTTTTAGGAAACAATCCTCTTAATCCCGGCGTGATGCTGCATAATGTACCTATCTTTGCCCTTCCCAAGCACTCCACTTCACCTATCAATTTATAAAAATGTATTTTTAGAGCTTTTTATGAAATACTTTTGTAAATAACTTAATTAAAATTTACAATTCATTTCTAACTAATATTGCTAAAAGTTTGAAAACTTAAAGAGGGTACATACTTATCTATACTTAAACAACAAATAAATCCCCTGTTTTCTAAAGAATAAAGTAGTGAAGATTTTGTTGGATTGGAATAAAACCGCATAGCACTATGGCAAAGCAATGCGTCCGAAGCCAAAGTTCTTCATCATACCTGCGTCACTTGAAAATTGAAAAACTTTCACAATGCTTTCCTTATGGAAATAGTTCGCGTTTACATTTGAGTGAGTCGTCATTGCAAGGATTCGATGTTGCAGTTCAAATGAAAATATTGTCTATCTATAAATACTGATACTAACTATAAACTATATTGCTATTAATATAGTCATGTTACTATCGGCATAGTCGCACGTCAAATATATTTTAGCGCGTCAAACACGTTATAATTTAATGGTGTTTAAATATACCTGCAACAACCGTAGATATTTTAGGATAACGAATAAATGCAAGCCCTCGCGATAGCTCGTGTAAATCCGCATGAAATATTGATACAGTTTCGTGTAAACGTGTAACAAATGCGGTAATTTAAGCCACCTGCCGGCGCCGGCGGCCGCGACTCGCGTTCTGCTATGCACCACTTTTGAACTGCTTGCCTTATGATGCAGCTATTTTAAATACTTCATATTGATTTATTGAATCTTTCTGGAGGGTAATTCAACAAAAATCGATTACTAACTTTTTTTACTACGATTACCACTCTAAAAGAAACATTGAAACAACATTACTGTGTACATGTACATAAGTAATATGGTTTTAATGTTTCTTTAAGATCTAATAAAACATAATAAATAATTTTTTAATGTACTCAATAGAACAACTAAGAAGAGCAAAAAATATCCATATCTGCATGTTTTAATCCATAAGGAACTTAGGATATTGAATATAATTAATTAGCTACTCTTGATAGATATTAAAAATATTTGATTGCTACTAATGTGTTAATAATGTCTGTAGATAATAAGCAGATCAACTGACAACTATATATAGTAGTAATAGGAAATCTGTGACAGTTTCTGTATGTTATATTGTTAGATCACTTATTTTATTAAATTAATGAAAGGTAAAAAATTATCTATAATTTTTTTTAAATATAACTTAATTCTACTATTATTTAGTATTTAGTAGTAATATTTAGTTTAGTTTTATACTTATAACCTAGAAATTAAATACTCGATACGACTATAAATTATACTTGATATTTGAATGTTTAAAAATATATCTAAGTAATTTGATATAGCAAATATAAAGTTACTTTATTGGAGTTTAATAAATATAGCAAATTAAATTTTATTGAGCACAATATTCAACATCCTCGTAAATTGCTACAGCACTGTTTGCAAAGTGTAGTCTGCGTTGAGTTCATCTCGACACCGGGCCACTTCATTGTACCTCCTCCTGTTTGCTCTCGCGCGTATTTACAAGACCATTTACAGTACCTTTTGCTATTCACACGTGTTGATTTAGGACCAATATTATTAGATAGATAAGCTTTCTACCCCTGTTTCTTGATTTTTATATACAGAAATGATGTTTAAGATACCGGTAAGTAGTTTCGCTTAATTCAGTTGTTGTGTTATATGTACTTTAAAATAAAGATTGTAATTCAGTGAACATTTATTACAAAGACGTTGAATATCATTATATTCAATATTTTTTTATTGAAAACGACATCTCCTTTCTATTTTTGTAAATCCGTTCTTGTTACATTATACTGGAGTTTGTCTGGTATATATAATAGTTTAAAAAATTACTACCTTACGTCAGTTCGAATTTGATTCGTTGTAATAAAATTAAAATTAAAGTATTTATAAATTTTCTAGTAACTTAAGTAGTGCAAGATGTTATTTTTTAAAACTAATTAATTTAAAAAAATCTAACCAATATAAAAAAATAATAAAATTACTATTATCTACCTAAAGAAAAAAAAATACACATTAGCAATATAATGGTTCAATGTAATAGTTTTGACCTTCGAAGAACGAAGAATTTTCATATCCATCGGGCAAATAACCGTTTCAACTGGGTGGAGTCACTTGGAAAGAGTCCACTAGTAATGGCGCAATCATCTAATGAATGCTTCCGGGCAGATAAGCTTCGATTAAATGGTCTCTTTATTGCTAAAGGAAAGGCGCGTTCCCTTTATGTGCACATCGAGATATCTATTATGAGTACAACCATACAACCCAACCGTCTGCAAGTTAATACATTTATTTACTTATCGAACCCGATACAAACCCATGAAATGTATTTCCATGGAATTAGCTACATACTTCATAGCGGTGTTGATGCAACAACATTGACTAGTAATTACAAAGAAATATCAATTACAGTTTAATAAATTACATCCGCTATAAAGACGCCGGGTTACCGTTAGATTTAAGATAAGTACCTGGTAGGTAGGTGTGTAGGTAACGCTCTACAATTTATCGCCTGCATATCCTTTCAGCGGGTAGATAATGACCGCAGTAAAACGTTTAAGCACGGAATAACTGCTGCTGGAAGCCGTTATTACAATATTATGAATGGTTTCCCCCACGTCTATGCTTTACGCCCGTCGTTCACCGTGGGCTTCGGGGATGCCACTTGTACCTACTCTCTATTAACGATCGTGTTGGTATCTTTTTATTTTCTAATTCTAAATAATGCACTATAATACGAGTATCACGTGATTTGATATTAAGCTACATTTGAAAGTTGCTAAATTAATTGTCCAGATAATTTTTAATACTATATAAAAAGTTAATAATCCGCAAAGTTTAAGGAACTAAACGGCATTATTCAAGAAATGGATTAACATTTCTTGAATAATGCTGTTTAGTTTA